GATAGAGGGCCAAGAATGCTCTCGCTGTCAGAATCCATCACCACTAAACTAGATAGCAATCCTTAGATGCGAGCGGTGCAATAACGCGAACAATCTTGTACTCGTAGCACAAAGCATACTACACGGCAAACTCCACGATCATGAGTATTGTACATCTCGGGATCTTAAGCGCGACGTCCTTGTTCGGCTCGGCACTCTTCACATGGAAATGTTTGCCGATCGTTCTATGTAGGTCTCTGAGCACAAAACTGGATAGATCGCAATCTGTGAGATTCTTTGCGAAAGACACGTTCACCTCTGTCTATCGGGTATCGAATAACAAAATGCAGTAATACGTCCGATCCACACGTATTACAGTATCCAAGGTAATCAAACATCTTTCTGCATATAGCAGACGTGCACTACCGATGTCGCCTACCTCCGACGGGCGGATATGTGCATCAAGGCAGAGCAGACATGTGTATTACCGCTGCGACCGCTGTGTTGGCAAACAACGTAGTCCGCACAAATCCCATCCGGTCCCCAGCTGGTCGAGTAGCACTCTCATTCCAACTCAGCTCAAGCTCGTATCAATACTGTCATTGCAAAGATCTTCAGCGTACTCGTGCGTCGCCGCCAGCTATTATGGCCACGCTCGACTATCTCAAGAAAGCCTTAGTGCGAAGCGCCAACATCAAACCTTCCGTCACCTCTTCCAGGGAGCCCTTGACCGACGAACAATATGCGGCAGGCTTCGAAACCTTCGTCCAAGGACCCAGTTGGGCGATCTACCGCGACTTCATCATCCCAGAACTATCCTACCTCCTAGCTCCTGCACACCAATCAAATAAGTTGATCTCGGTTCTGGAGATCGGCCCGGGCCCCAAGAGCATTCTCGGGCATCTACATAGAAGCTTGCGAAAGAGGATTGGGAAGTACACCGCTTTTGAACCCAATGCCTTGTATGCTCTGAAGCTGGGAAAGTGGTTGCAGGATCATGAGAAGACGGATACGACCTCAAAAGCTCCGTTTCCTTGCTTGGAGAGTAATCCTGTCATCTACCGTACTCGTTTCGATCCGGATTGTGACACGCCGAGTGGTGCCGATATCGAGAAGTACGACATCGTTCTCTTTTGTCACAGCATGTACGGTATGAAGCCGCAAGACCATTTCATCAAGCATGCGTTGAAAATGCTCCTCGAGGGTGGAATCGTCGCAGTCTTCCGTCGTGAGGGTATCTTTCACATCGACGGCTTGGCCTGCCACCATTCGGCTTCCCATCCCACCGGTTTCGTCGGCGTAGCAGATGACGATGACGCACTGGATATCTTCGCATCTTTTGTCGCTGGCTTTACCATGCAAGACACCGACGAAGACAACACTGTTCTAGTAGACTGGCGAAAGCTATGTCGTGATCTTGCCCGCCGTGATGACGACCATCCCGCAACCCTTCTATTCTCCGCACCTGAAGTCATGTTGGCTTTTAATCACCACGCAGACAAAGTGGAGGAACTGGAGATGTGTGTGGGTCCGATACTAGAAGAGAACCCGGTGAAGAACCAGCAAGCTCGTCTCCAACGCCCCGCCGCTATCGTCAGGCCAGATAGTATTGAGAAGGTGCAAGATTGCGTCCGGTGGGCACTCAAGCACGGCCTTGGCCTGACTGTTGTCGGTGGAGGACACAGCGCACATTGCCGCAGATCCAATGTGGTGGCAATCGACATGAGTGCTTTCGACTCCGTACATGTACTCAAAAGGGTTGGGGATGTAGAGGACCAAGACATTGCCTTCACTTCACTTGTAGTCGCTGGTGCTGGATGCAAGACAGTCGATATCATCAGCAAGGCTCTCGATGAGGGCCTCACTGTACCTCTAGGATCTCGCCCAAGTGTTGGAGCCGGACTCTGGCTACAGGGTGGTATAGGCCATCTTACAAGGCTGTACGGGCTCACCTGCGACAACATTGTCGGCGCCGTACTCATCAGTGTGGCTTCCGGAGAGATCTTCTATGTCGGTCGTGTGCCAAGCGAGCACCTTCCCAAGGAGGCTCATCTTCCAGAGAATGATACTGACATCCTTTGGGCACTGCAAGGTGCCGGCACGAACTTTGGTATCGTACTCAGCGTAACACTTCGCGCCTATAACGCCCACTCGTTTGCCACGCGAAACTGGGTAATCCCTCTGAGCGACAATGCCGAAGCCAAACGCAAACTTCGGGAGTTCGACGAGATAGTCGCAAATGGATGCAGCGAGTTCTGTTCCGCCGACGCATACCTGTATTGGGAGGATGAACGACTCAACCTTGGGATCACAACGTTCGCCGCGATCGATGCATCTTCCCCATCGCCGACGACTATCATGTCAAAGCGCAAAGGCGATATATGGGGAACCGCTAGCGACACCAATATCTTAAATGGTGTAAAAGCGTTCGAAGCCGAGATGTACATGTCTGCGATGCACGGGGGGCATGGCAACGGCAAGACGTCATCTTTCAAGCGTTGCGTATTTTTCAAGGACATTGGAAGGTCGATAATCGCTCGTCGCCTAGTCTCAGCGGTCGATTCTCGTCCGTCGCCGCTCTGTTACCTCCATCTGCTGCATGGCGGTGGGAAGGCTGGCGAGGTCGCACCCGAAGCGACTGCGTTTGGGTGTCGAGACTGGGATTTCGCTTGCGTCATCACCGGGGTGTGGCCTCGGGATGAGGATGGCAGTCGTGATGCGCATGCTTCGGTGCAGTGGGTGTACGACGTTGTCGATAGCTTGCTGCCGTTAAGCAGGGGCACGTACGGAGCGGACCTTGGACCTGACCCCCGAGATGCAGTGCTGGCGGAGAAGGCGTTCGGGCCGAATACCGTGCGCCTCGGTCGTCTCAAACGCCTGATGGATCCACGGAACGTGTTGGCGTGGGCCTGTCCGTTGCCGAAGCCCCCGTTGCCCAAACTCATCATTCTTGTTACCGGCGAACACGGCGCCGGCAAGGACTACTGCGCCGGCGAATGGGTCGCCATTTTCTCTGAACATGACAGTAACCCTTCTTCTTCAACGCATGGTCTTCGCGCGCAAGCTATACGCATCAGCGACGTCACGAAACGCGAGTTCGCCGACGCGACTGGTAACGACTTCCGCCGCCTTCTAGACGATCGTGCATATAAGGATCAACACCGTCCAGCGCTGACAGCCTTCTACGAGAAACAAATCCAGGAACGACCCCGACTGCCGGAAGAACACTTTCTCGAAGTTGTCCACAATGCGGCAAGTGCAGATGTTGATGTTCTGTTCATCACGGGGATGAGAGATGAGGCACCTGTCGCATCATTCTCCCATCTAGTGGCGGCGAGCAGAGTGATCGAAGTCCGTGTTGATATCAACGAAGCCTCACGGGTTGCTCGTGGGGTACGCACCGAGAAGACGACTGACTTGACAGCTCCGCGACATCGTCCAAATCTGACCTTCGTCAACGACACACCAGGAAACGGCGCGATACGAGAGTTTGCCGAGGCCTCCATACTTCCCTTCGTGCATAATGACCTACAACGACTGGCCGATATGGTACGTTCAATCCCGAATTTCCCCAAGCCGGGCATCCAGTTCCGACATGTACTCGGAATCTCGCAGCAGCCAGGCGGCCTTGCTCTTTGCGCATCACTACTACAAAGTCACTTCACTGGATGCTGGGCCAACGTCGATGCCATTGTATGTTGCGAGGTAGGCGGTCTCGTCTTTGCACCGGCATTAGCATCGCTGGTAGACGTGCCTCTGGTGCCCATTCGCGAGGCTGGCAAGCTTCCGCCACCTACCATTTCGGTCATGAAGAACGCATCGTATATCTCTTCCCAAGCTCCTAACCAAGCAAAGATTGGAAAGCGCATCGAGATAGAGCGAAACGCGATTATCGGCTCCGACTCGGTCGTAGTCGTGGACGATGTACTGTCGACGGGCGAGACTCTTTGTGCGGTGCTTCATCTACTGGAAGAGGCTCATGTAAAGAGTATCGCGATCATGGTAGTTGCGGAGTTCCCACTCCATCGTGGGCGTAGACTATTGTACGATCGTGGACACGGCATGGTGGATATGCAGAGTTTGCTTGTCTCGGGAGGTGACTAGACGGTGTAAGACGGCTTTGCTATCGAAACGATTAATGCATGCACTGAATGAGATAGCATAAAGTCACAGACCATTCGCATCCCAACCTCATCTCATATGTTCTGCTTGTTCAATGTTTGCCAGCCCCGTAGAGCTGATTACGTCAAGGCAGAAGTCACCTTCGAGGCATCCTGATCATGACAATATTGATACAAACGAGATTCTCATTACTGCTATAAGCTATCTGAAACTACACTACAGTAAGAGTACTGCTACCACTGCCCTTGGCTGCCCGACTCGACCTCGACATCTTAGTATAAGCTGCCCCTTCACTTTCGGATTCCAGGAAGTGGGATCGCCAGCTCCACGATGTTGTGGCTTTCAGTGGAGCATGCTCCATCATCCAGGGTACTTTGGAGGACAATGGTATTCAGGCTTGGGACCACCCTCGTCCTTAGTACACCCTATCGGATCCCGTCGCGGTGTACATTTTACATTTTGCTCATCCCATGTCTTTCCATCGTTTTTCGGATCATAGTAGAAGCATCCGAGGGAATAACAGTCGACGAAGGGGGTAACTCGGTCTGCTCTCCATCCGTGCATCTTGGCGATTTCTTCATTGAAACCATTGCGGAATGGTTGGGTCGCGTATTCTGCAACGCCCTTGTCCGATTTACCATCACATTCGTAGGTCCAATCGGAAGTCTTGTGATCCCATTCCAGTTTGATCATGAGAACCATCTGAACTGGGCCTCCGTTGGTCGGGTATACTATCAACGCCTCGGCCGGGACGGAGCAAAAGAACAAGTCTCTGTCACCACCGCTGTTGTCTTTAAAATCGCCGATTCTGAAGCAGTTCCGTGGTACTTCAGTCATCTTCTGGTACACGCTAGCCATCATACGGTACTATACATGTGTTAGCCCTTGAACATGACCACTTAGAGTACGGCAACGCTTACTCCCAAGTCCTGGAGATCTGGTAAATCCGGATTGAAGTACTCGTGCTCAATCTCGAGAACGAGCGCCGAGTCTGTTCGATAATTGTTGTCTCCATCCCGGAAAACCGCATTGCGAATAGAGCAGTCGTCTATGGTAGATCCTTTTTTGCACTTCTTGAGGATTGAGTAGATGCGTTCATACATCCGTCCCTGTTGGAAAGTTCCAGCGTGGGTAGCTCCCTTGCCGAGGCGAACATCAACACGATACCAGCCTTTGAGATGCTTCCACTGTTCCTCGACATCGGCAACGTGAACGTCGGAGCTGGCAGTCGACAACGTTATGTTTGTGCTAGTGAAGCCATGGAGCTCGGCGAGCAAATCGCCTTCGGAGGGGATATCTTCTGGTGATATCTGGGAACTAGCTGAGGCGGGAGAAGTACCAAGAATCGATGATTCTTGGGGAATTGCTTGCACGGAAGAAGTAGCAAGAGTCGACACTTCTTGAGCGTCGATGGCGTCCGGAGCTGCGAGAGAAAGCGCGAGAAGCGCAATGAAGGCGCAGAAGAGAGAGAAGGTGCACCTCATGTTGGCCGTGGTTGATTGCGCTGATTCTCGGGTTGCTGTTGGAAGTGGAAGCGTGGCAGGGCGTTGATGAGGGCAGGGGCAGGCGAAATGATATAGTGCGCAGGCGCCAGTCTGACATGGAAGTGGGCCCAGCTGCCTGGAGGCGACGGAGTTTGTGCGGTGAGTGAGCGGGTGAGAAGGGAAGGAGTAGAGCAGTAGCGTGTTGTTGTGCGATAGGCGCGGCCGCGACTGGGAGTGAAAGGGCAGGCGCAGAAGGGTTTACTACGCTCATCTCATAACAGCTTGACAGACCTAGACTTCATGTAATCCAGTTAGTGAGACATTATAGATGGGAGACAACAGATCGGTGACAGAAACAACTGTTGTCTCCGCGGTCATCCTCTATGTCATTTGGTGGCATTCCGATGGACGGGCGCTTTGCACTTTGTCGCGTCCATATTCTTCTCCAGTGCCATCCGGAAGAATGCGTATTGTTTGCAAGAAATGCACGCAAAGATGGCTGTAAGGCGACTCCAGCAATGTCAGTCTATCGAGGTAATCGAGAGTCGACAATGCTCTGGTGTTGGAGAGGCAGCGAGTTCCGCTTATGTCATCTCCCATCAAGCCTCGGCCTGACCTCCGATACCCATCTTCTCCTCTCTTGCGAAGCTCACCAATCGCGTCCAGTGACTCCCAGGGATGCGCAGCGAACTATCCGTCATGTCATACCCGGCGGGGAAGCCGTTGCACTCTTCAACTGCCGTAGATTGCTAACCTACCGTACTGACCATGTCTACAGCTCGCCTTCTTCCTTGGTCACTTGTGCGGCACTGCCTCCAACAACCGCGCATTACTCGGGCGCTCACAACGTCGTCCAAGGACCTGCACGCGTCCGTTGCGGCAGGCACGCGGGTCGATCACGCCGAAAGCAATGACAACCAGACGGTAGCAGCCATGGGCCGGACCAAGGCGGGCAAGGCCCTCAAAGTCCGCAAATACCCAGCCTTTGAACGCCTCGAAGACGAACGCCTCTACCGTAAACAGCATCTCGCGGCTGCCTATCGCATCTTTGCATCGCGCGGGTTCGACGAAGGTGTCGCCGGCCATATCAGCGTGCGCGACCCAATACTCACCGACCATTTCTGGCTCAACCCATTGTCGGCGCATTTCTCCCTGATACGCGTGTCGGATCTGATACTGGTGAACGAGGAAGGCGAGGTGGTGCACGGCGACCAGCCCATCAATGCGGCGGCTTTTGCCATTCACAGCGCCATACACAAGCGACGGCCAGACGTACATGCAGCCTGTCATGCGCATAGCGTACATGGCAAGGCCTTTAGCGCCTTTGGTAGGGAACTGGACATGATCACTCAGGACAGCATCCGCTTTTACAAGAGCCACGGCGTATACAACCAGTTTGGCGGAGTCGTGCTGGCCAGCGAAGAGGGCGAGAGGATTGCGGATGCCTTAGGTATGGCCCCGTCTACATTCATACTGTACGCTACTGATCACTTGCACAGGTGACGGCAAAGCAGCTATTCTCCAAAACCACGGCATACTCACCGTGGGCAAGTCCGTCGACGAAGCAGCCTTCTGGTTCCTCTCCCTCGACAAGACGTGTCAAGCACAACTCCTCGTAGACGCAGCGGCCGCTGGAAGTGGACACAAGCCCAAGATCATACCGGACAGCGAGGCTGCCGAGACATATAAGCAGGTTGGGACGCCTGAGAAGGGATGGCTGGCTTTCCAAAGCTACTACGACGAAGTACTTGCCAAGACTGGAGGCAATTTTCTGGACTGATTCAAACATTTTATCGCTCAGCGAGGCCAGAACAGCCAAAATGGAATGCGAGACATGAGGCAATTGGTGGAGACCCGGGTTGGCGGACGCGACGCGTTTGATTTAGTCTCAATAAGGCAAGCGTCAGTCGCGTCGACGAAAGTCGGTCTGTCTTTCGTTCGACAGTCGTCTCATCCTAATCAGCACTATTACGACACCCCGTGTACACTCACCTCTTCGTAGCCATGGCCGCCCGACACTTGACTCATACCTACTAACTCGGTGACATGTTCGGCAATTCTTAGGGCCGTGTAGATTCAAATGTTGAAGCCATGAACACTACATACCAGCAGCGCATATTGCACTATCCACCACTCCCACTATTGAACGTCGATTTCGGGATCAGTGAGGCTTAGCCGAGCATCCTGAATACAAAAGAACATGTCGTTATTTAGTGTGGACAGAATGGTTCTCCATTGTCATTGCGTCTAACATGTTGCACAAGCAACTTTGGAACTTCGTGGACGCGACCCTTTCACTTCTGCACAAGTCTTGTCCCGCTACGTCATTTTATTGCTACCTTTCTACATGCAGCATTCTTGTTTGTCTCCCGAACTCACGTCGCTTACCGCCAATTCATCGTTACGGACACAGCAAGCCAGGCCACACGCACACTCGGATCGGGATCAGCCTTCCCTTTATCTCGCCCTAGAACAATGCCGCCTAGAAAGAAGCTCAAACCGACACCGGAAGCCGCCCCAGACACGCCGGTCGAGCCAAGTCGCTCTGTCTATGGTGACAGCCACGCAGCGACTGAGAAAGCCTTGCTATCCGCACATGCTCAACACCTATGGAACGCCGGCGTGATCGACGAGCACATGGTCGCGGAGCTGTCGAAACCCAACCCCAAATCCGACGTCCACAGCGTCAGGTATACAACAGACTACCTCGCGGCCCATCCAGACTACACGGGAGAGGACGCGGACGAGCTACCAGCTATGCAGACTGCTATGAAACACCGGAGAAGCAGAGACGAGGCACAAAATAGGGTTTTGGAAGACTACTGGGCGGGACGCATCGATCTCTGGGGTCACCCAACTGGACATCAGGTCGATGATAACAGCAGGGACTTACTGCCGTGCACTCAAGGTACCCACCGCCACAATGGAGCGCCAGGAGCCGCTACGCGAAGTTAACACATCGGCGATACCAGCGAGATAGATCACAGTTCATCCGACAATTCTGCATCTCCCACAATCACGAGACACAGGCGCCGTACCGATCATCACCCGAAGGGAAACACACAAGCATTTGTAGCCAACGCTTCGAAGCACTTTTCGAATTCACCTATCAGAGAAACTCTGCCAACTGCAACCCCACCATCGTTCAAGCAACGAATAGCGCAATTCCAATACACTCCGGATCTCCTACCCTCAGACGCCCTGCCTACGGCGACACCATTTAGCAGCCCCACGCGCAAACGCCTAAGCCGAGTAGAGCCCGATCTGCATTCTGGAATTGCACCCGACCAAGCGATCTTGATCTCTATATCCCCTTCACGGTCGTCGACCCCGCGCTCAATGCAAGCTCGCACCGTTGTACCACTACAGCCTCTGCACGGTAACTCGGACTACACGGACCTCGATTACTACAGAGCAGCAGCACTCTGCCGAAAGCGCGGTATACCGAGTGGCGGGAACGTGCACGAAGTGCGAAACCGCCTTGTACATGACGATACTGCCATAGGCGAAGGACTTCCGCGTGTTATGGCGTCGTCGATATATCGTAAGGCGTACAAGACTGCGGCACCAGGTGAAGAGGAGATCAGTCATTGATGGGTATCGTGGCCATGGGATTCAGGATTTGCGCGACGATGTCGACTGTAGTTTCCAGCGCTGAAGTAGTGGCAATGAAACTCTACAAGATCACTTTACTCATTCGTGTTCCTTCTCACCAACTCGTTCTCCAGCTCTTCCCTCTCATCAAGAGTCAAATCACTCTTCGCTTTGCCGATTTTAACGCCCAAGAACATGATGATCAAGCCCGCGCCAGAAAGCGCAGTCGCAAGCCAAAAGGCTACCTTGTAACTCCCCCTTCGTCCCCTCTCCTCCGTTTCACTGACCGCTAGATCTGCAAACGAAAGGAAGACCGCGATACCCAAGAACAGTAAAGAGTTCATGAAGGACCCCGCTAGTCCTTGACGCGCTTTTGGTAGCGACGTTGTGATGAAGATGTTGGCGACGTTGTAGGTGATGTCGATACCGAGTGTAGCGCAGATCATAGCGGGGAAGATGTAGGCCCAGTAGTTGAAGTCAACAGGGAGGATGGCGAATAGAAGCGTCGATAAGATATATGCGGTGCCACTGACAAGAAGGAGGATGCGACCCGGTAGCAGATGCAGGATAAGGCCGCCAACGGTCGCCAATATCAATCCACCAACGCACATAGGTGTGAACCATGCGGCGGTAAGTAGCGGACTGGCGCCGGCAACCTGCTCGATATAGAAGCTCGCATAGAAGATGAAGATTCCGAAGGTGCCGTACTGGAAGAACAGCGCAAGCGCGAGTGGCTTCATACCCTTGACACGGAATAGATCAGGAGGTAGGAGAGGCTGTTCAGCGACCCAGCCTTCGATGTAAACGAATAAACCCAGGAAGACCCAACCGATGACAAAAGTGACGGGTATATAAGGTGTCGCCCATCCTTGTGGTGCATGGCTTCCATCCGTGAGTGCAAAGACCACTAGGACCAAACCTGGCACTACAGTTGCTGTGCCCCACCAATCCATCTTCACCCCCTTTCCTTCCTGTTTCGCCTTCTCTTTCTCTTCTCTCGGGTTGGGAATGCAAAGGTACGACGCAACGGCCACGATAGCGAGGATGATCGATCCTATCCAGAAGAACCAGCCCCAACTCATGAACTGTGCAGCGACACCAGCGAAAAAGATGCCAGTAAAGAAGCCAACTGGCGCAAAAGCACCGTACAAGCTGAAGACGAGGTTCTTGCGCGGCCCAGGACGGTAGATAGAACCCAGCAGCATGATACCGCTCGGCAAGAAGGCCGCAGGACCGAAACCCTGCAGCGCTCGACATACGATAAGCATGACATAGTTTTGTGAGAAGCCGGCTATGATCGACCAGATCAAGAACCAAGCCAACCCGATGTTGAAGACAATGTATCCTCCAAACATGTCAGACAGCCGGCCGAAAGGCAGTAGGAAGGCTCCTGTTACCAGAGAGAAGACGGAGGCTGGCCATGTCTGCGCGTTGGAGGGTATATCGAGAGCGGAGGTCAGGTCGGGCAACAGGATGTTGAAGCCGGAGATCATGTACTCGGCTACGAACATGGAGCCTAGGAGGGCGAAGCAGAAACCTAGCTCGTGAGGGAGAGAGCGGAAGGCTGAGGGGCGTTCGCGGCCGAGTCGCTCGATGTCGGATGGGCTGTATGAGCCGCCATGTTGTGGTGGGCTTCCTTCTTCGGCCTTTTCTAATATGGGGGCTGAATTGTCGGATGGAATTGCGTCGCTTGGGGTATGTGAGGTAGTCTCCATCGGGTCGTTGGACATGGTAGTGGTTCCCGTGACGGGCTGGCTGGTATTAGGTGTAGTGAAAGTCATGATAAAGCCATCTAGATGTTTTGTCCTATGAGTCGATATGGCAAAAACTTTGAAGACGACCCAATTCCATCACAGTCTCATTCTTTCTATATGTTGTTTCCGGACTCCGAAATGACCGCGGACATTGTTGCTATGTGTAATGGAAGACATTTACTCGGGTGCTGAGCCTCAGAGCATACAGCCAAAGGCAAATCCTAGCGGTGACTGTGACGTCTGAGCATAAAGCCGTCACGATGTGGACCGTCGATGCAAAGATTGAGTCTTGGCTGCTGCATCGAGCCTAGACGGATCTATCGAGGTCTGGGGCGAACGGCAAGTCAAGCGAACCATGCGCGCAATTCCCCTCCTAAACCCGTCTTTGTCAGCGCCGGGAGACATGCGATTTGCTTGCTTCATCCTCGGGCTGCGCACTCGGTCAACATCGGTTTCTGTAGCTGCAGTCCGACAGGTGTGACGAAATCCTGCATCCACATCAGTCTTGAGGGCGTTAGTAACCCAGTGAACCCGACCCTTCGACCGCCACAAGCAACGCGAAAGATCTCCACCCCACCAAACCTCACGCACCTCAATACAGTCAACCGTCTACACATCTCGCATGGCGACCATCCAATGAGCGTGACGCCCTTCAATCTTCCGACCAAAGCGTGCCACAATTGCCGGAAGCGACGATGGAGGTGCGACCGGTCGCTGCCAAGCTGCCAGAAATGTTTGTCAGCCGGAACGGAATGTCTGGGTTATGGCAAGTTGTTTGTGTGGAATCGCGGGGTTGCGAGCCGGGGCAAGATGATGGGGAAGGGGTATGAGGAGAAGATGGAGCACGATGCTGGTGGTGCTGCAGCTGCGACGGAAGGGGCAGCCAAGACTCACGACGTACCGCCGAGGTTGGTGTGGGAGCACGAGGGCTCATCGCAACAACACCAAGTACTGGAGACCGAATATGAAATCGTGCCCGCAGGATCGGTACCGGAATTTGCCCGCATGTCCGCGCAGGAACAAGATCAGACCATGGCCATGACTGCTGGCGTGCACCGACAGATGACAGACCCTTTGGTTAATGATCTCGATCGCAACTCGCGATACTACCTCTACCACTTCGCAACACAGCTGTGCGAAGTCATGGTTGTGTACGATGAGCCTGGACAGAATCCCATCCGCGACCTCATCCCCGCGACCTCTGCCTACCCGCTGCTCTTGCAGATCATTGTCGCAAACTCGGCGTTTCACGTCTTCAACATTACGCGCAACCCCATGGGCCAGTCAGCTTACCAAGGCGAGCGGAGCCCGACCGTGATGGCTTATTACCAAGCTGTGAGCCGATTTGGAGGTCCGTTGAAGTCGTCCTACAGAGACGCACTCGTGGCGAAGCAGCAAGCGCTCTCCTTACTTGCAAAGAGCGTGACTTGTGTGAACACCACAAACATTGACCTCATATTGATCACTATCCTGCTGTTTGTCAACTATGCTCTGGTAGAGTCAGGCAGAGATAAGTGGAAAGTGCACATGGACGGTGCGCTGAAGCTCATCAAACTTCTGGGTGAGCCCGAGTATATACAACGGCCGATGAGTAGGCTCCGCCAAACGATTCTTTCAGACTTTCTTGTATTTCATATCCTCGGATCGACTTTCAGCTTCACGACGCTTCCCGCATTGATTCCCGAGACCATCGAGTTGGACCCTATTCTTCGGTACGCGGAGACGAACAACTACCTTTCTTGCCCTGGGCCGTTGTTGCGTGTAATGCTCGAATCCTTCGCATTGCCCGATAGTCATGGGTCGCCCTCTGAGACCACGACGCCCATATATCTCCAAGAGCAGGTGGGTGTACTCCTGCAACGCGCGCTCGACTTCGATCCCATCGCATGGTCTTTTGAGTTTGAGCGTGCATCGCCTTTCGACGACATACAGAAACGGATTCGAATAGCCTCCGCGCATCGATCGGCGGTCTGCATCTATCTCGCTCGTGTACTACCTTCCACCAATCCTCTTCTCGATCCCGCGAGTGGCACAGCCCTCGTCAGCCTCACCGCTCTCGCCGACGACGTCGTCAACCACATTTCGCATCTCGAGCCTGGAGATGCACTCTTCAAATCTATCTGTTGGCCATTGTTCCTTGCTGGTGCCGAGTCGGAGGACCCTAGTCAGCGCGAGTGGATCATGAACACACTAGATGAACTCTATGGGCAGATGTTCTGGGGATATCTTCACACGTCCAAGCGCGTGTTGGAGGCTATTTGGCGTTTCAAGGACTCAGCTGGACCTGGTGCCGGCAACTGTTGGGTGGAAGAGGTTAAAGATCTGGGCAATGACATTTTGATCGCTTGAGTATGTGCAGCGGCCAAAGACGGAGTATCAAGGGCGAAACAACAAATGCGAACGTGCGACCGGGAACCTATATGCCCGCGACGGCTTACTAGCATGCAGGCGGAACTTTACCTGAGTGGTAGTCACACAACATTGCAAATCCAGATCGTTGGGTGTACCTGCCGTAACACTCACATCCCACGCATCGGTCGGATCCCCATTGCGAAGAAGCAATCTACTGTTGGGATTCCACAGACCATTTCTAGTCAAGATCGATGGGTGCGATGGCAGGCATCAGCTAGTCTAGTCTGGTCGATCCCCAGGTGGTCGGTAGCGGGGTATTCGTCACGGGTACCTCAAGCTGCCTGCACCGTGTTATACAAGCAGTTGGCTTCTCGAAACATGCAAGGCACATTACCCAGGTTGTCTTACCACCTTTATTGAGTTCTGGGTCGCATATTCGCGTTACTTCAAAGCCCTATTTTATGCTTCGAGCTGCTTTGACGCCAAGACCTTCAAAGTACTGCTCTCGTGCGAAACTCCATCATGCGCACATGGCGTGCCATAGGAAATCAACTCGGATGGGTCGTATATGCGCTCTGCATGGTACATTCGACCCGCTTCTCTTTCGCCAATCAGTTATCAGCACCTCTGGATGCGCACCAGCTTGATGGAAAGCAGGTACCGTTGCTCGCTCAGAGGTAAGACCACATGGATCTTCTTTTTGAGAATAGGCGCAGCCTCCGCCTTTCGCGGCTTACCCTGTGTATGCTCGCTCTTGCAAGTACATTAGCGCATGCGGGTGTTGCCATTCTCGGACTTCGACGGAGGGTACTTGCAAGCCCCGCCCATCTTGGCTTACTATTCAAACGTTGTTCATAGCCTGAACATCGTCTGGAATATTGTTTTGTATCATCGCTTTCGCGTAGCCTCAAGGTGTACGGCTTCTAAAGTCCGCATTCGCCATGCTTTCCACACCCTTCCTCCATCTGCTCCTTCCCAGCCTCATGTTCATTACTAAAGCATCTGCGCAAAGCAACAGCAACGACGTATTCGATCCCAAGGGGCGCACGAAACTCGCGCTTGAAGCTCTACAATTGTGGTATAACACAACTACCGGCCTATGGGAGTCGACTGGGTGGTGGAATGGTGCGAATATCATGACAATGATTGGCGACTACGCGAAATCAGATACTGAAGACGAAGAATTGCAGGACCTGGCAAGCAATGTCTTTGCGACTGCGTTGCTAAAGGCGCCGATCAAAAATCCAGACGCGAGTATTGATGAGCTATGTGCTTATAGCACAACGCCAACTGTCGGCAACACGACTTGCCATCAGACTGGGTACACGAAGATACTCGATCCGGATACCAACGAGCCTCACACATTCTATCCGCTTGGCTGGTACGATAATGGGGGGTCCTATCCCACCAGGCCAGATCCTTATGACTGGCTGGACGGCTACTACGACGATGATCTCTGGTGGGCGTTAGCCTGGATCAATGCATACGACGTCACCGCCGATACCGCTTATCTCACTCTCGCGGAAGGCATATTCCTCGCTGTATCGCGCACCTGGGGTACTTACTGCTCTTATGGCGGTATCTACTGGAATTGGGAAAGGGACTACGTAAACGCGATCGCTAATGAGCTCTTCTTCAGTACAGCTGCGCATCTGGCCAACCGCGTCCACGACGATAAAAAGAAGACTCTGTACTTGTATTGGGCGGAGAAAAGTCTGAATTGGTTCGTTGGAAGTGGTATGATCAACGAGCATGGTACAATCAACGATGGACTGACGGAGGATTGTGCCAACACCAACAAGACTGTTTGGTCATACAACCAGGGTGTAATCTTGGGAGGTTTTGTCGAGCTTTACCAAGCTTCAAGCTCACCCCACTCCGCATACCTCGTTCTCGCATCGGAAATTGCGAATGCGGCGCTTGTCGCACTTGCGGACGAAAATGGCGTTCTACACGACGAATGCGAGCCGGACTGTGGTGCCGATGGCGCCCAGTTCAAGGGCATCTTCATGCGTAATCTGGCCAAACTTCACGCTGTGGCACCGGAAAAAGTGTTTGCAGACGCTATTCGCGTCAATGCGGGGTCTATCTGGCAACGAGATAGAGCGGTGACAGTTGACGGCTTACCTGTGTTCAGTGTTAACTGGGCAGGGCCTTGGGTCACTCCGGCGAATGCAAGCACGCATAGCTCGGCGATAGATGCACTCGTCGCTAATACTAAAAACGTATGTACAAAGTGCATGTTATTTTTCTAAATAAATTAAGAAGAATATATAAGTAGTTATTTTGCTAAAGTATATAGAAATAAAAGTTATTTATATATTCTTCTTTATATTCTCTTTATCTACTTATACTTCTACTTCTACTATTATATTAACTTATTTTACTTCTCTCTTTTTAGTAAAGTTCTTAAATAAGTAAAGTAAAAACTTCTAAATATAGTAGCTTAGTTACTATACTATAAGACTTTAGTTAAGTAGTATCTTTAAGTATAACTATTTATAAAGATACTATATAGCTTTATTATAGTAGACGCTAAAAGTATTATAGTTATTATTTAGGCTAGTTATATTAGTATATAAGTTTACTAAAAAATAGTATACTTATAAGTTTTACGTTAAGCTATTATTTAGAAAGAAGAGATACTCTACGCTAAACTAAGTAATAAAGATATTAATCTTATTACTAAGTTTATACTATAGTTTTAGCTTACTTACTATATCTTTTATTAAAATAGTTTTTATATTTTTACTTATACTATATATAGATATAATTAGTTTATAAAGATATTTCTATATAAGTCTACTAATTTAGGTTCTAGTATAATTAGGTTATATAAGCTTAATAATATTATACTATATAAGTATTATAAATAGCTACTAAATATAACTTATTCTAATCTAGCTATCTAAAGACTTTGTATAGCTATATTAAAGAATAAATACCTCTCTACTACTATCTACACTATAATAACTAGCTATATTAGTAAGCTTCTTAGTATATAGAAAAGTATATATATCTACTTTATAATATTATAGATACGCTTTAACTACTAAATAGAGATATAGTAGTAGAAGGTTTAGTATTATAATAAAAAAGCTTTTTCTACTTTTCTTAGTAGTTTTATAACCTTTACTTAATCTATTACTATAATTATTTTCTACCTTTCTTTTCTTATATAGTAGTCTTTTACTAAGCTTAGAAAGGTAATAGTAAGCTAGTTACTTAAGAGCGCCTTTATAGGTTTTATTAAGATTTCTAGATAGAATTTTGTAAAGAGCTATAATTATCTAGTATAGTTAGCTTACTAATATAAAGGTGTCTAGGTATTATAGATACTTACGCTATAGTTACTAAGAAACGCTTTAAGTACCTACTTTACCTCTATAGTTAATAGTATTATAATAATAGAGAAGAAAGAAAAGAGAGTAGTAAGCTTCTAAGGTAAGCTTATAATTACTATCTATTAAGATAGTTATTTACGTTACTAGCTAGTAAAGAAAGTATTTAATCTAGAGTTAATATATATAAAAGTAATTAATAGTAAACTTTATAAGAACCTATAGAGCGTATATAGTCTCTATAACCTTACTATTAGATTCTAATTATATATAAATATATATAGCTTATTAGAGCTTAAGTTTTAGTTATATTAGATATTTCTAGGTCTTAGAGAGATATTATAGCTAGTAGTAAACGCCTAGAGTTTTAAAAAAGATCTTAGAGCTACCTAGATAAGTTTTATAATATATACTCTAATATATAACTTTACTACTAGCGTATCTTAGCTTACTACTTTATTCTATAAAAAATAAAAAAGTACGCCTTTTACTTATACTATAGTCTAGTTCTAGTAAAGCTAAGTTATTAAGATTATACTTTAGTATATAGTATAATTATAATAGCTTTAATATTATTTACTAAAGTATATAGTATATTACTATAGTACTATAGTTATTCTTAGAGCGCTTTATTTTATAAGATATTTTTAAGTATTTAGAGTCTTATAAAAGGTCTTAGAGCTTACCTATCTAGATAGATCTTACACTATATATACTAAGAGAAATAGCTTTAATATAACTAAGACTATACTTTTATAGAAGTTAAAGGTATATTTCTTTCTTTATAATAAAATATCTTACTACTAGATCTTACTATATAGAGATATAGATTTCTAGAATTCTATTTTTATATTAGATCTTTTTCTTTTTATCTACTTATAATATTAGTAATTATTATACTATTATTAAAGCTAACTATAATATCTTCTAATTACTCTCTCTAGTTCTCTGCGTATACACTTAAGTAGTCTACTAATATTAATCTTAACTAGCCTAATAACGTTAAAACTAATTAGCGTATTAATATTAAACTTAACTAGCTTTCTAATATTAAATATTATCTATCTACTAATATAAAGCCTAATAAGCTAATAGATATTAAACTTAACTAGCCTACTAATATTAGTACTATATTACCTTAGGTATAGAAGACCTAGTATAAGATACGCAATTATATTAGTAATTACTTTAATAATCTACTTATAAACTCTTTATATATTTAGCTATAAAGTAGCGCTAGTATAGTGTTTATATTTAAAGCTTTCTTCTATTTAGTTATATATAAGAGTATCTCTTAGCTTATTAATAAAGCTATAATCTAAATTATTAATAGTTATAATTATATATTATTAGAAGTAGTTACGTAGATAAAGGTTATTTATTATTAGCTACTATATAGTGTTTAGTTTATTATAGTATATTTACTATAGCGCAGAATCTATTAAGAGTAGCTATTCTCTATTTTATTATCTATCTATCTTCTCTTTTACTTCTACTAGTGTATATAGATATAATACTACGCTTATTTATTTATAATTACCTATTACTCTACGTTCTATATATAGTAAAGACTATAGATATAGACTAATATATATAATAGTAAATTTAACTCTCTTATAATAACTCTACGTAATATATTACTATAGATTCTTACTAATCTTAGGCTAAATAGTAATATAGATTCTAGCTTAATTTTACCTTCTATTACTATGCCTATATATATAGATCTAGCTAAGATTTCTCTTTTAGTGTCTAATAACTCTAATCTTATATCTAAATCTAATAAAATTATTAATAATAAGATATAGTCTAAATTAATAACGCGTTTAATAGATAAACTCTTAAATAAAAATCTAGCTAAGATTCTCTATCTAGAGTTTAATAACTCTAACCTTATATCTAAATCTAATAAAATTATTAATAATAAAATATAATCTAAACTAATAATACGTTTAATAGATAGACTCTTAGATAAAGGTTTAGCTAAAGATCTCTATCTAGCGTTTTATAACTCTAAACTTATATTTAAAAGTAATAGAATTATAAGTATAAAAACCTACTATTAGTAAGGTAAGTTCTACTTCTTAACTTTTTCTTCTTATATACGCTCTAATTTAAACTATATTAATACTCTAGAATGCGTTAAGATAGTAGTAGCTACTATTAAAAGCTTAATACCTAAAGCTAATACTATAAGCTATTAGTAAGAGTTATAAGATCTAGTTATATATATATTATAAGTTATTAATATTATATATATAGCTTAGAATATCTTTAGTAAAGTATTTAATAGAACGCAGAGGCTTATAGTAAGAAACACTAAGCTTATTAATTATAAAAGCCTTAGTAGAAGAAAGATATATTAATACTAGTTTCTCTTTATCTTCTATAGTAGAATAACTAATATAAATATATTTCTATTCTTTATAGACCTTTTTAAATAGGTTACTAAGAAGTAAAGAGTTAGTGTTCTAGAAGATAGTTATATAGAAACTAGTAAGTTATATACCTTCTTCTATTTAGAATACTACCTTATAGTATCTATAGCGTAAGTCTTTCTAGACACTATATATATTACTAAGATATAGGTTACTACTATTAAAATTAACTTTACTAGACTCTAAACTACTATAAGTAATATAGAGCTTAGAAGTAGAAATATCTAGTTAATTAGTAGTAATATATATATAATATAATACTTTAAGACCTTATTAATAGTATACTTAGTAATAAGCGTACTAATACTTTAAGTATTAATAGAATACTAGAAAAAGCTTTATAAGATATAGAAAATAGCTTCTAATATAGATTCTTTATAAAGTTATCTAGTTTACTATATCTTTATTCTAGTTAGAAGGTAGTATAGTATACTTACGTTAGTAGATCTTATAGGCGTAGAAAACAACAGCGTTAATTTCTAAGGCTTAACTAGTAATAAGATTAATATAAAGTAATTATACTTTAATATATAGCTTTAATAGTACGCTAAGAATCTAATAAAAGTAGTCTTTTATATAGATGCTCTTACTAACACTATATATCTCTTACTACTAAAGTTACTACTAAGTAAATATTCTACTATTATATACTTTTTTTATATTAATAAAGTGTAAAGCGTAGTTACTTACTTACTACTATAGTTAGAAAGTCTAGTTACTATTATATAGGCGTATAAGTCTTACTAGATACCTAAGTAAGATAGAGCTTATACTCTATTTTATCTATTAGTAAATATAAAATATTTAGAATCTTTATAATAAGCTAATAAAAAGTATAAGAATATAGTAGACTATATATAAAGTAACGTAAACTAAGTAGAGAGATATAAAAGAGATAGAGTTATATAAGTATAAGACGTAATAGCTATATATAGATTAATATTAATAATATTATTAATACGTATAACTATAGATTTAAAGTAAAAGTTATATAGATATAAGAGAATTTAATTTATATTTTTTATACTTATACTCTACCTACTAAAAGCTATCTAAATTAATTCTACACTTCTTAATAATAAGAAATATAACGCTATATAGTTTTCTACTTCTTTAAGATTATTAACCTCTTACGCTAATAGAAAGTACTACTTTTAGTTATACTATAATAAAACTAATATCTATTCTTACTACGCTACACTACGCTCTTAGACTTATTTATTACTAAGAAGCTAGTATTAGAATTCTCTAATTACTTCTTTATAATAATATATAACCTAAGAGGTAACTAGCTAGTAGAGTTAATAATATAAGTAGAAGTAGAAGAATTTTATTATTCTTAGTTTAATATATAAGTGTAGTTATTAACTATAGTTATAATAGAACTATCTAGTATCTTAATATTAAGTAGAGAAGTACGTTTATTGTTTAGAAAAGAATTAGAAGTATTAGCTTTCTCTATAGCTAGAGCACTCTCTATCTTAGTACTAGCTAGTAGTAGTAGAGATTTATAATAGATTAAACTATAT